TTGAAGTCTGAAGCCCATTGACAACAGAATGATGATTTAAAAAAAGCCATAATAAGAAACCTTCTCGTAATAATAACTTAGTATTTAAAATGATTGACCGAGTGACTTATTTTGCAATTGTAAGTCATCATTTTGAGATACTCAGTATATACAAATAACTCCTTTTAAACAATGACTTTGTATGTGCAATTTATTCCTTATTATTAGTTGATGAGAAAGTTTGCTCCTGTAAGTTGGTGACTTTCCCTATTTTACAGTTAAACAGTTCACTAAACATGTTTTGAAAACATTTAACATGGGGAAAGGCCTTAAATGCCATTTGCAAAAGCCATTAGGAGCTCAAGAGGATTATATATAATGCTCTAAAGGCCAGGATATTGGGACAGTTTTGACAAATAATGGCCCAAATAATATTTTTAAAAGGGGACCTAACATGCAAATTGCACTTTCTGATGTCTTTTATACATAAAGATGTGTCCCCGGTGTGTCAGGGAACTCACGCAGCGTCAGAAAATAAAAACCCTCTCTCTTTTCCTTCCTCCGTACCCAAATCTCTAAAAATGGGGCTACAACGAAGCTGATCCAGATTTGCGTCCGATATGACGTAATATCTGAAATGTGGACCCACGGCCCTATCAGAAACGTTGCTATCAGAAACAATGCCCGACTGTTTTGGACGTAATATGGTCGGTGTTTACATTAGCATCGCTAACACTCAGAGCTAACCTGTACTGGAGAGCATGTGTGTGAAGAAGCAGGAAATAAAAAGGAACTCACCTTGTGGTGTAACCGGCAAGAGAGAAAGCCTTTGAGCTCCATACGTTTCAGAAACAATCCTTGATAATCCATGATATGGCGTTTCATCATCACCGCAGTATTTAGTATATATTTTTTTAAAGCTTTATTCCCCAAATCAGCACTTTTGAAACAGGAAGTGAAATAGAGGGATATGAGGCATGGCTAGAATGGGTGATCTGTTTGGTATTTTGAGCAAAACACTTCATAGACATGTTTTTTATATATCTGAGACCTATGCTATAGCCTAAAAATAGCATGATAGGTGACCTTAAATAAAGTTATCAACAGTAGCTTCAAGAGAGGAATCTGCAAGGTCAGGCCATAACAATTGCAACTGGTTCTTCTCTCCTATTGAGCGTTATGAAAACAAGACTGAGCGCTGCTTCCTGTGAATCACTTCCTGTTGAGCAGCTCCAGGTGTTGTTGGGAGGAAATCCCCAAACACTCGAGACTGAAACAAAGCTGTGTTCAGACCGTACAGAGATGACGGTGCAAAGCTAAGTAAATGCAAGTAACAAAAATGAAACTAAATACATTAAAAAAACGAAAATGACACCTGATCAAAACAAATAAATATAATCTCGCCTCTTTGTCTTTGAGTAACTTAAAAATGGTTCTTCATGGTTTTCAATATGACTTTAAACGTAGTAGCCCTGATTATTATGGTTTAGGAGTGCTTGAGGAGGTTAAAAGGCTCCTTCATGAGGTTATAGTCCTCATGATAAATGTTTCAGGGGCTTCTGGAGAATATTTGTGTCTCTGTTTCTGAGTTTTAGACGTAAATGAGTCTTTGATTTGATTAGAAAATGATAAAGAAGTGCATTTGTTTAGGTGATTCTGTCTCTCTGTAGTCATTGATGTTTTGCTTTGTGGTCATCTTGCAAATCTTTGTAGTATTTTTGTAGCTGTTTTGTGACTCTCTGCAGCTATTCAGCATATCTTAATATCACTTGTGCACCTTTTTATAGTCATTGTAGTTGATTAGCTTCTCTATAGTTGTTTTGAATGTTCTTGTATGTCTCTTTGTTGTCATTTTAGTCTCTTACTGATTTGTTCACGTGTCTTTTAGTAGCACTTATAGTATTCCATCCATGGGTTTAACGAGTCCTTATTTTTTCTCGGCTCTGCTGACGTACCAAACGCAGCAAATGTTTGAAGACGATGACATTTCACACCTGAGCCTCTGAGCAGGAGGTGTGTGATTCTAATGAATGTTTGATATAACATCAATATGACTAGCTTTTCCCTTCTCCTCTAAACACTCCCTGTAGCTCGGTACATTAGTATTATTACAACATTAGTTAGTGTGCTTACACAGTTTATGCTATTATGGCATTAGAAGTCTCTCAGTGTGAGCACATTTGTTTGGGCTGTTGCTTTAAGTGCAGGACAGTGTTTAAAGAGCCGATCTAACAATAACGTCTGCGTTCAGAGAAAGGAATGTTTCTGCAAGCGGTCCTGTTTTCAATCTCCACCTGAGCTCTGAGGCAGACAGCAGCTGTGGCCTGAAGTCAAAGAAGAGGATGAATCTGGGAGAGGACTCTTTAAAGTAGAGACACTACATACTGATATACACCTGAACATCAGCAGGAGAGGACTCTTTAAAGTAGAGACACTACATACTGATATACACCTGAACATCAGCAGGAGAGGACTCTTTAAAGTAGAGACACTACATACTGATATACACCTGAACATCAGCAGGAGAGGACTCTTTAAAGTAGAGACACTACATACTGATATACACCTGAACATCAGCAGGAGAGGACTCTTTAAAGTAGAGACACCACATACTGATATACACCTGAACATCAGCAGGAGAGGACTCTTTAAAGTAGAGACTCTATATACTGATATACACCTGAACATCAGCAGGAGAGGACTCTTTAAAGTAGAGACACTACATACTGATATACACCTGAACATCAGCAGGAGAGGACTCTTTAAAGTAGAGACACTACATACTGATATACACCTGAACATCAGCAGAGAGGACTCTTTAAAGTAGAGACTCTATATACTGATATACACCTGAACATCAGCAGGAGAGGACTCTTTAAAGTAGAGACACTACAATACTGATATACACCTGAACAATCAGCAGGAGAGGATCTTTAAAGTAGAGACACCACATACTGATATACACCTGAACATCAGCAGGAGAGGACTCTTTAAAGTAGAGACACTACATCTGATATACACCTGAACATCAGCAGCAGAGGACTCTTTAAAGTAGAGAAACTACATACTGATATACACCTGAACATCAGCAGGAGAGGACTCTTTAAAGTAGAGACTCTACATACTGATATACACATGAACATCAGCAAGAGAGGACTCTTTAAAGTAGAGACACTACATACTGATATACACCTGAACATCAGCAGGAGAGGACTCTTTAAAGTAGAGACACTACATACTGATATACACCTGAACATCAGCAGGAGAGGACTCTTTAAAGTAGAGAACACTACATACTGATATACACCTGAACATCAGCTAGGAGAGGACTCTTTAAAGTAGAGACACTACATACTGATATACACCTGAACATCAGCAGGAGAAGGACTCTTTAAAGTAGAGACACTACATACTGATATACACCTGAACATCAGCAGGAGAGGACTCTTTAAAGTAGAGACACTACATACTGATATACACCTGAACATCAGCAGGAGAGGACTCTTTAAAGTAGAGACACTACATACTGATATACACCATGAACATCAGCAGGAGAGGACTCTTTAAAGTAGAGACACTACATACTGATATACACCTGAACATCAGCAGGAGAGGACTCTTTAAAGTAGAGTTACTACATACTGATATACACCTGAACATCAGCAGGAAAGGACTCTTTAAAGTAGAGACACTACATACTGATATACACCTGACATCAGCAGGAGAGGACTCTTTAAAGTAGAGACACTACATACTGATATACACCTGAAAGCATCAGCAGGAGAGGGACTCTTTAAAGTAGAGACACTACATACTGATATACCCTGAACATCAGCAGGAGAGGACTCTTTAAAGTAGAGACACTACATACTGATATACACCTGAACATCAGCAGGAGAGGACTCTTTAAAGTAGAGAGACACTACATACTGATATACACCTGATCATCAGCAGGAGAGGACTCTTTAAAGTAGAGACACTACATACTGATATACACCTGAACATCAGCAGGAGAGGACTCTTTAAAGTAGAGACACTACATACTGATATACACATGAACATCAGCAGGAGAGGACTCTTTAAAGTAGAGACACTACCATACTGATATACACCTGACATCAGCAGGAGAGGACTCTTTAAAGTAGAGGACACTACATACTGATATACAACCTGAACATGAGCATAATATATCCTCTTTAAGGACCTGACTCAGTTTGCACCAAAGTGTCCTTAATCTTAAACTGCAGTACTACTTCGGAAAAAAATAAGGAAACGAAGGAAGGAAGCTAAAACAGGAGGCAAGAAAGAATACAATAAAGAAAGGAAGTAAAAAATGTCAATGTCAAGTAAATGAATTGCCTGGTACAGCAGCTTCAACATACAATTAATCTAGTTTCCCACATCGGCCCCAAACATCTCTCCTACCTATAGGAGCAAGACAAACAGACTGTATAGTTGTTTAACCTCTCTGTGTAGTCGTTTTGTGGGACCTGACCTTTAGTCGTTTTATGTGTCTTTGTGGTCATTTTGAGTCTTTATCCTGGTTGGTGTGTGTCTATTAAAGCAACATTATACAGATGAAGGCCAAAGGCAGGCCTTGACACTTTTGCTCCGTATAATCCATCAATGAAGGCACTGTAATATTTCAAAAAACATTACGTATATTTGCTTTTAAGAAACATGTCCTGAAATGCAGCATGATACACAGTGTAAGTGTGACTGTTGGCGTGTGTGTGTGTGTGTGTGTGTGTGTGTGTGTGTGTGTGTGTGTGTGTGTGGTGTGTGTGTGTGTGGTGTGTGGTGTGTGTGTGGTGTGTGTGTGTTGTGTGTGTGTGGTGTGTGTGTGTGTGTGTGTGTGGTGTGTGTGTGTGTGTGTGTGTGGTGTGTGATACTCTTTGATAAGTGATTGTCTGTTCTCCATTACTTATTATCACTGTGTGCTGCTCTTTAGTGAGGAAAGTTTTCCACAGGAACTTAAATGCTTGTGTGTGTGTGTGTGTGTGTGTGTGTGTGTGCTGCAGGTGGTCCTGAACTGGAACATCAGCGCTCTGCAGGAGAAGGTGGAGCTGCTGCGTCAGACGGAGACCAACCTCACGGCTCAGATCGTTCTGCAAGAAGGTAAAGGAACACCTCACTCTGTAGGAAAATCTCCATCACTGCCATGAAAGGAGACTTTTCTCATCGAGTGTCCGAGCGTTCGGGGTATTCTTAGCTGCATTTCCTCCCCTGTTACCATGACGACCGGTGAGTCAGAAGTAAAATAAACACACGCGATTGGTCGGGGTTGAAAAAAAACCCACAAAGAACTACAAAAACAACTGGAATGTGAAACGAACTCTGGAAAGAGTTTCCTTTTAATTATCAGTCAGAAACCACAGATTTAAGTATTTGCAAGAAAACATGAATCCACAAGGATGGGAATTGTTATTTTCTTTTACAGAAATCAGCAGGGAGAATAAAAAAAGGAATGAATGAAAAGTAGGAAGGGAAATAAGGAAAGGAAAAAGCAATCTAAAATGTTGATTTAGGGCATTTTATATTCAACATGCCAGACTAAAGTACAAAAGTAACGTTGTTTTTACGAATTCATCACAGAGAGCATCAGTTGTCAGGGGAGGCGTGTCATTGTAAGGAATTATAAAAACAGTCATCAATGGGAATCAATGGGGACTTCCATCCCTAGCATTGTTAAAAAAACCGGAAATGGCTGATGCAGTTTTCATGAATATCAATAAAAAAACCAATTTTATACGGTGTTTTTCACCAGACAGGACGCGTGTGCACCATTTTGTGAGTTTCTGAGCGTCCATAGTACTCTGAAAATGCTTAATAATATAATCTGACTATATTAGATTATATTGAAAGACATTATTAGACATTTTGGGTCGTAAGAGGAGTAAACACTGTCTGAACTTTAATGTCCCCAGCACCAACATGGCTGTTGAATCAACTCATTTCCATCCACTCTTCCACAACGAGGAAAATACATATTAAAAGAGGTTAAAATCACTAAAAGTCTGGCCATGTTGAGACTTATTTATTCACAAGTTATAAGAAATACAGGTAGAATCATAACATTTAATTAAGACTTATACTTGTACAGTTATAGATCAAGGGCCCAGACACTTAACATACATTATTTACATTATATTTATACATATATACAGGGGTTTTAAATATAGTATTAGGGCAATACTGTGGCGCTGATCTTGTTTTTTAAGATATATATATAAATTATCCCGAGAACATGTATACAAAATGGCGCCGCGGACCGTAAACAACAACACGACATCAGAGCTTCTTAAAAACTCAACTGTCTCTGCCGCCTGACGCTCTGTTTGACACATATTTCTGGAGTAATTATACCGTTTTTGATGAACAGATATATTGTCTTCTGGCATCACTTTAAAGGTCCCATGTCATGGCCATTTCTACTGATCATAATTCCATTGTTGAGGTCTACTAGAATAGATTTATATTGTTCATTGTTCCAAACTCACATTGGTTTCTCATACAGCATTTCTGTATAGTATGTGTATTCACTCCTCTGTCCTAAACGGCTTGTTGGAGCTCCTGCCCCCCCCCCCATCTCCCTGTGAGCCCAGTGTGCTCTGATTGGTCGGGGACATTGCGAGGCTCGCTGCTCAGTGAGCTGGCTTACTGGTGGGGTTTCCGGGTCGGTGATACAGCGCGAAACTCATCCTGAGCGCACACAAACACTCACAGCCGAAGTAAAAACAATAAGTGTGGCTTGATATTGAGTAAGAAAAAGGTTTATAACGCTGTGAGAATGGGTCTGCGGAGGAGCATTTCTCCGCCATCCCAACTCGTCTATTACCAGCCAGGGAGCTCTATGCAAGTCAATGGGACTCCCTGTTAGTTGAAAATGTGCGCTAAAGGTCCTGGTGTGTGAGGATCTCCGCGGATTGGTCCATTTGTTTCTTCTGGGAACCGCATGACGTCATGTGGTTCCCGGAAGAAACAAATGGAAAAAGAGAAATCTCCAACGAGGCGTTCTGGGGCAGCATAGACAGGTATTTTTCTGTGTTAGAGTTTTACTCGCTACAGGGTGTACTTTGAGGGTTTGTGACTCTGCAGACCGTTTACATGCAGAAAAACCTTCATAACACACAAGGGGACGGGTAATAACCAGAAAAGCATGACATGGGACCTTTAACATTTTACGTGGAAAATATGCACTTTGGTTTGAGGGCGCACGCAGGGAGTGAGAGAGGTAGACAAATCCCTGATATATACAGTAGTATTAATACATCTAGAATTTGAGAGAGTTCATATATTATACGGTACAAGTCTGTTTTCTTACAAGAAGTTTAGAAAATGAGAGTGAGACTTTTTAACATTTTTGAAACAGAAATTCAGTATCAAGTGTAATTTTCTGCCTTTTTAAGATTTTTATAAAGGAAATTAAGCCGTAATTTCAATCAAAGCTGTTGGGAAGTTTCTCTCTGCACCGTGCCATGATGAATACAGAGTTTAAAACAATACTTTCCTTGAGTAATCCTCCCCAGCCGTTCAATGGGAAGTGCAGAGAGGCTTTATTAAAGGTGACTTCCTGCTGTGAACAGTCGGAGGGAAATTATGGATTCCTGTGTGGCTCAGATAGGAGAGAGCATTGTGTTTCTGATACACATCTCTGTTCAGAACGACCCGCCTGGAAACAAGTGAGTCAGGACCAGGAGAGTTACATCAGGAACTTATCAGCGTGTGGAACCAAATCAATCACAGTCAGTTCATTAAAGTGACGGAAGAAGAAACTCTGATCTTTTTAAATAAAGGGGAAATACTACAGTGTAGGAATGGGAAGTATAAGTACTGCAGTACATCATGCTCGTCTCCCTACCTCCCTCTATCTCCTCCTCTCCCTCTCCTTCCTCATCTCCTCTCATTCCTTCCTCATCTCCTCTCCTTCTTCTCATCTCCTTATCTCCCTACCTCCCTCCTCTTCCTCCTCTCTTATTATGTATATTGAAATCTTACTTAAAGGTAGGGTAGGTAAGTTTGAGAAACCGGCTCGAGATACACTTTTTGTTATATTCCATGGAATGCTCTTAACATCCCGATAGCAATGAATATCTGAAGTGCTTTGAACAAAAAATCCATAAAAAAATGTCATCTGTGGAAGCCGTAGTACTGTAAAAAGCACGACCAATCATCTGAGCCGGCCCGGCTAAAATAACTGGATGGCCTACCTGCCTGTCAGCCTTCCATCTGTGCACAAACTTATCTCGTGCCCTCATTGGTCATGTGCGCGTTCGTGTGTGTTGGAGGAGAGGCTCTGTAAGGAAGTGGAAGATTTGTTCCGGCTGTGTATTTTCAAATTCTAGCGCACTCGAGCTGGTTTCTCCAAAATGACCTACCCCACCTTTAAGTAAAAAATCGCAAGTCATTGAAATACCTGATAGCGGTACAAAGACCTCTAATTGTTATTTAGGCTCCGAACTTACTTAAAAAGTTCTTGTTAAACCTTTATTTAGTTTGTTAAGATAAGTATCCGTTTGTTAATAGCAGACGACGAGTATTTCAAGCAGAAATGAAACTGATTTGAGTCTCTGGAGGTGAGCTCACTGATGCAAAATCTTCCCACAAACGAGCTAGAGAACAGAAAACATGAGAGCTGGCAGCTTGAATCATTCCTCAGATAACACACACTGTCGTCATTCTGCAATAATAACACACACACCGTCTCCTTATAAGTTAAGAAGCTCATCTGCACCAAACTGCTCAGAAAACACTCCATTCTACGTCATCACACTCAAGTGATGTCATGTAACTACGTACTTAAGTATTCCACTTTTAAAGTACTTTATTTGATCTAAAAGTGGGCCCACGTTGACAAACTACAACCCTAGTTACTGATAAATACAGGATAACACAATATAATGTATTAAATAAAGCCATTCTGCACAATAAAATACACATTTACTTTTGATACCTCAAGTCCATTTAGCTCATAAAACGACTTTGCTTGAATTCAGGATTTTTTTAGACTCCAGTTTTACCACTTCTTCTTCTTAATTAAAGGATCTGAGTACTTCTTCCATTATAAGGTGGCCTTATCCCCCCCTTGGTTACTGTTGCTATGTTGAACAACAGTATCACTGCATCAGACGCTAAAAATAGAAACGATAATTAAAACAAAAGTTGCCCAGAGCGTAAACATTTGATTTTCAGTATCACATGTATTTCTGCTCGGTGGTGATTTCATAATGATCGAGGCTTTAGTAGCTTTTCTAATGTCTTTGTTGTTTTTAAAGTGTGTGTATTATTATTGTCCTGCCTTGCTCATGTGTGCCATGCTTAATTATATTCATGGCACATATTAAAGAGGCCCTATTATGCTTTTTTGGGGGGTTTTCAAAATACAGATTACAAAATCCTTTTAATAAACATCTATATGTAATACTACAATATATACATCTACATTATCTTGTAAGGAAACAACCTGAAAAGGACTTTTTTAATTTACATTTTTCATGGATGTATGTTTCCCCAACTGACCACACGGGGGCGCCAACGTTAAGCCCATTTTATTATTTTAAATGCTGAAGCCAGAACTTTAGCTGTAAAGTCTAATATAACAGAAAACACGTATTTATTCTGTAATGTTCGTTGTATCATGGTTTCATTCGGTGGGGGGGGGGGGGGGGGGGGGGGGGGGGGGGGGGGTGTGTGTGTGTGTGTGTGTGTGTGTGTGTGTGTGTGTGTGTGTGTGGTGTGTGTGTGTGTGTGTGTGTGTGTGTGTGTGTGTGTGTGTGTGTGGCCTTGCATTACTATAGTTGTGGGGACCTACATCTGTTTACACAGTCCGTGTGGGGACTCGCCTTATGGGGACATAATGGAGGTCCCCATAAGGGGAATCATTAATTTTAGGGTGAAGAATGGGTTAGGGTAAGGTTAGGCATGTGTTGGTTATGGTTAAGGTTAGAATAAGTCTCCAGGAAATGCATGTAAGTCAATGTAATGTCCCCTGAAGTGATGTGTGTGTGTGTGTGTGTGTGTGTGTGTGTGTGTGTGTGTGTGTGTGTGTGTGTGTGTGTGTGTGTGTGTGGTGTGGTGTGTGTGTGTTGTGTGTGTGGTGGTGTGTGGTGTTGGTGTGTGTGTGTGTGTGTGTGTGTGTGTGTGTGTGTGTGTGTGTGTGTGTGTGTGTGTGTGTGTGTGTGGCACATGCTGGAGCTACTGTATGTAGAATATTGGTGGGTTACAGTTCAGCTAAATGTTTGTGTGTGTGTGTGTGTGTGCAGATCACATCGAGGCGCTGCAGCAGAACGTGACGGAGGCGGGTCATCAAAGGGAGTCGTGCTCCAGCCTGCGGGCGGCAGCAGAGAGTCAGATGCTGGCGGCTCAGAGTCAGACCCGGGCCTGTGAGTCCAGAGAGCAGTACCAACTCAAACAGCTGTGAGTACAATACTTACCTGCTTCTGAGGATCTATTCTATACTGTTGAGTTAACTGATTATTTTACATTTTTGTATTTTAAAAACATGTTTCTTTACTCCTTCCCCCTACTTCACAAGTCTCTCTAATCCATTTCATTGTATCTTGTGTTTTGTTCAAATGTTTTCGGAATTCTTGCATTCTTTTATTCAATCTTTTTGTATTGTAAAGTGTCTTTAAGTACCTAGAAAAAATGTTATATTAATCAAATATATTATTATTATTATTATTATTATTATTATTATTGTTGTTATTCAATGCACGACTGGGGTAAGACGTAGTAAGCAAAGATGATTCGAAAAAATAAATCTAACAGACATCACTACAGTTAAACCAAAACAAACCATTTTCAAATTTGTATTTATTTTTGTCTGAAAAACATAAAAAACATGTATTCTGTCTCCCTCTACCGGAGTGTTTATATGCCACACTTGAGTGCAGTCAATGAAAGTAATAGAACGTTTGCTTAGTTTTAATTGCTGATTATTTGTTGTCTGTTCTGATAAATATTAATATAATAGAAAGTATTTCAAAATGTTACTTAAGAACAGCACTTAAAGGTGCGGTAGGTAATTAACTTCAGAAACACTTGTTATTATATTCCATGGAATGCTCTTAACATCCCGATAGCAATGAATACATTAAATGCTTTGACAAGAAATACATACAAATATTTCATCTGTGGAAGCTGTGGCGCTGTAAAAAGCACAACCAATCATCTGAGCCGGCCCGGCTAAAATAACTGGATGGCCTACCTGCCTGTCAGCCTTCCATCTCGTGCACAAACTTATCTCGTGCCCTGATTGGTCATGTGAGCGTTCGTGTGTGTTGGAGGAGGGGCTCTGTAAGGAAGTCTGAAGGAAGGGGCAGATTTTTTCCGGTTGTGTACTTTCAAATTCTAGCGCACTCGAGATGGTTTCTCCATTCTTACCTACCCTACCTTTAAGTAATTCCACCATTGATTTCTGTCTTTGTTTTGCAGTTTGTTTTGAACATTTCCTGATGTTTCTGTGTTTTAGTCAGAAGTGTAAAGAGGTGGAGTCAGATGCTCCTCAGCAGGAGCAGGTGGGCGAAACATCCTCTGCCCCCCCGACTCTCTCTGGGATTCCTGCTCTGATGCTTCTGCTCTGCAGCTCTCTGCATCTGATAACCTGTGAGTCTCCTAAGCACTCACACACACCACTGTAAATCACATCTGAAGAAACTACAAACTGCTGCACCCAAACGCATCGTCAACACTGCAAAATCTACTTTTGATCAAGTGTGACTGTAACTTAGTTTAGTTTAATATGTTTAGTTTATTCTGTCGTTTTCAACTTTCATTTACAAGTTTTCAAACTTTATACAGAAATGTTGCAGTTTTAAAGTCAACCAAATCTCCAAACTTGTTATCAAATAATAATATGTCAGTATATTGATCCCTGCTCGATTCCCATATCTAGATCGTTGCTTGTATATTATTTAGGCATTATGATTTATTTATTTAATCGTTTATTTGGCAGGGACAATGCACAGTAATGAACACTTAAAACATTAAAATGTATCAAGTGTAACAGTGCCAGATTTAGCTTTGAGTTAATTTCCATCCGCAGTCCCTCACATAAAACATTTAAGAAAATTACATACATGATATGTAAAAAGAGCAAGAGCAGCATACACAAGCATTTGTGACATGTTAATACAATATAGCAGCAACGACATATAAAGTGCAAGAGGAGATACCCCTGTATTAAAGTGCATTTAGCGGTGATTGCACGTCTGTTTGTTTCTCAACCATTCTTTGAGTTGACCTTTAAAACTATTGAGTGGGACAATCCCGTATCTCAGTTGGGAGGCTGTTCCAATGAGCTGCCTTTTAATGGAGAGGACATTTTGTCTAAAAGCGGTCCGTCTACGGTGGACTTCACAGTCTCCTCTGGTTTCTGACCTAGTGCAGCGTCCAGTGTGTTTTTTGTGGATGAATTCCCCTTTATAAATACTGTAAAGCACATACTTTTAAAAGACTTAAAATTGTCAAAACTTAAGAAATTGCGTAATAATCT